AAAAAAAGTTTCCCTCTCTCTCTCTCTCTGTATGTGTGTGTGTATGTGTGTGTGTGTGTATATATATATATATATATACACACATACATACACACACACACGTATATACACACACGTGTATATATATACACCTATATATACATGCATACTTAACATGTATTGTTACATATATATTTTATATATGATACATGTGTCGTATATGTTACGACATGTATATATCAGCATATATATATGAAGTGAGTGTTAGCATGATTGATTTTAACATCGATTTGACTCCCTTATGTACATGGATAGGTGACCCAACTCTAACATGTGTGTGCAAATGCAGGAATGTGGAGAGACATGGGCTAATCTTCTTAGTAAAGTGCTACAGAATCGCAAAGTGTTTTCTCTTTGAGTTTCAATCTTAGCTCCAACAGTAATGTCCTGTTGTTTTTCTGATGTAGAAGTGAAGTTATTTACGTTTGTCTCTGATGAGATATGTGTTAAAAGAAATGTGGGGCTAGGTACAGTGGCTCATGCCCGTAATCCCGGCACTTTCGGAGGCCAAGGAAGGCAGATCACAAGGTAAGGAGTTCAAGACCAGCCTGGACAACATAGTAAAACCCCGTCTCTACTAAAAACACAAAAATTAGCTGGGCTTGGTGGCAGGTGCCTGTAATCCCAGCTACTTGGGAGGCTGAGACAGGAGAATCATTTGAACCAAAGAGGCAGAGATTTCAGTGAGCCAAGATCGTACCACTGCACTCCAGCCTGGGCAACACTGTGTCCCAAAAACAAAAAAGAAATGTGGCTGGGTGTGGTGGCTCATGCTTGTACTTGCAGCACTTTGGGAGGCCAAGGCAGATGGATTCCTTGAGCCCAGGAGTTTGAGACCAGCCTGGGCAACGTGGTGAAACCCCATCTCCACAAAAAAAAACAAAAAAAAATTTAGCTGGGCATGGTTGTGCACAGCTATGGTTCCATCTACTCGGGATGCTGAAGTGGGAGGATGGCTTGAGCCTGGGAAGTGGAAGTTACAGGTAAGCCAAGGTTACACCACGGAACCCCAGTCTGGGCGACGAAGTGAGACAATCTCAAAACAAAAAAAAGGTGTACTCAGACACTGCATGACACTATTCTTGAAATAAATTATAAAAGCTAGTGCCTCAGTCAGAAACTAAATTTTTTTTAAAAATTGTTTTTTTTAAACTCAGTGTTTTGGCAAAACAGATAGTATCTTTTTATTTATTTTTGTCTAACGCGCCTTCCTTTCTTGCAGTGATCGCTTTCTTCTACTAGTTTAATTTAAACTGTATGCATTTCATTTGCTTGCTCTAGGGGCCTCTCTACCAGATCTCATGTCAGGTTTCCACTGGGGTATTTGACAAAGAAACTAGGGGGCAGGAACCTGAACCTCTTTTTGATCTTTGACAAAAAGAGATTTTCTGGTCCTTTATCTGAGAACTTTAGGCTACTGAAGATGCCACCATCCTGTGTGACGTGGCAGACTCACGAGCGCGCTGGGGAGTGCTGGCCTGCAGAGATCTCTCTGGTTTGGTGAAATTACGGACAGCGTTTGGATGCTGGTGCCGCAAGCTTGGCAAGGCCACATGTTGACTGCTTTTCTCCCGGAACACAACCTCACTCTTCCTCCTGCTCTGCCCTAGATAACCAGTTCAGGATGTCCATCCTGGAACGACTGGAGCAGATGGAGAGGAGGATGGCGGAGATGACGGGGTCCCAGCAGCACAAACAGGCGAGCGGAGGCGGCAGCAGTGGAGGCGGCAGCGGGAGCGGGAACGGAGGAAGCCAGGCGCAGGTACGAGGCGGTGCTGATGATCAGCTCCCATTTCGCTTCCTGTTTATGGATTGGCGAGTCAGTGGATGGATCACAGGTCTCTCTTCTCTGCTGCTGATGCTATCCCTGGATTCAGGCAGAAAGTCAGAGGGGGTACTTTGCAGTACCTGTGCTTTTAAAGCATTATGATCTGTGCAGTATGAAAGAAGCCTTAGAATGTGGAGCTTCTCAGTTGTTTACTCCCCTAATCCTTAAGTTACTTCTATTTATCTCAGAAATCACTACTAAATTACCTACCAGTGGGCATTAAGGACAACCAAGTGAAAAATAGAGGCCGGCCGGACGTGGTGGCTCATGCCTGTAATCCCAGTGCCTTTGGGAGGCCGAGATGAGAGGATTACTTGAGCCTAGGAGTTCAAGACCAGCCTGGGCAACACATACTGAGGCCCTGTCTTTATTAAAAAATTTAAAAATTAGCCAGGCATGGTGGCACATGCCTGTGGTCCTGGCTACTCAGGAGGCTGAAGTGGGAGGATCATTTGAGCCCGGGAGGTTGAGACTGCAGTGAGCCATGATCACTCCACTGTACTCCAGCCTGGTCAGTAGAATAAGAACCTGTCTTAAAAAAAAAGGCCAGGCGGTGACTCAGATCTGCTAGGGTTCAGAATTAATTTAGAATCTTCCTACTTTCTATTCTGTATTTTATCCCTATCTTAAGTATAGGTAAAAAACATAATTGAATTCAGTAATTCATAAGCCTTTTATAAACTCAAGGTCAATGTGAAAAGAGCCCAGAGAAAGTGTTTACGTAATGATTTAGTGTAGAATGACATACATTATAGCATGTTTCACAGTTTTTTTGTGAATTCCATGAAGAATGTATATTGCCAAGTACAAGTAAATTACCAAATATTGTTTTAGAGTCCCATTGGTCTTTAAGGCTTTACATACATTTCATTTAGGAAGTTCATTTTGGGGAAGTCCCCCAGGGAGGAATTATTTCTCAGGGGGCCCTAGAAATAAATTTAAAGGAACTGATGGTATTTCTTATCTCTACTACCAAGTTGTTGGAAAAAAAAAATCCTCAAATGATCCCCCCTCTTTCTCTTCAAGACAAATGGTTTCCTTTGCACAGCGAAATTTATAGGTGTTATGTTTCTGGTTTTATGAACCTCATAAATATCAAGTATTAGTAATATTTTACATAATAGTGGGTAAAAATAGCACCATATACCATACCCAAAAAGTTGATCTCCTTTCTCCTCACATTTTTGTATTTCTCCCCCGTCTTCAGAGATCAGCAGGAAAGAAACGACTTGGCACACAGTCAAATAATATTAAGGCCAAGATAGGCTTCTTTTTTTTTTTTTTTTTTTAAGATGGAGTCTTGCTTTATCGTCCAGGCTAGAGTGCGGTGACACAATCATAGCTCACTGCAACCTCCCCCTCCCGGGTTCAAGTGATTCTCCAGCCTCAGTCTCCCAAGTAGCTGGTATTACAGGCATGCACCACCACACCCAGCTAATTTTTGTACTTTTAGTAGAGACAGGGTTTCACTGTATTGGTCAGGCTGGTTTCAAACTCTTGACCTCAGGTGATCCACCCGCCTTGTCCTCCCAAAGTGCTGGAATTGCAGGCATAAGCCACCATGCCCGGCCTAAGATAGATAGGCTTCTTTTTCACCTGATAGTACTATGTTCTATAAAGGAAGTAGTCATTGTTTAATTTACCTCATGGCTCACATAAGAGATCTCCTTAAAATACTTTTCCTGTCACCAACAAAAGTGGCATAAAAGATTTGGTATATGTAATGTCATTTTAAAGCTCAACCGCTATGCAACTGGCCTGTCAGAATCTCATTCCATATTGACCACTATTGAATATCCTTTCCTCAGGTTAAGTTGGCTTC